CAAACCCTAGTAACAATGAATTAGCACATTATTGTTCTCTTTGGCATGTACTAATTCAAAATAAGGCCACTAATTACAAGTTTAGTCAACCCTCATCAACGAAAAACACTATTAACCATGCATCTTTAGTAATTAGCTAACATAAGAACAGAGGCCAGACTGAACCTTAATCACCATTTAATAATGTGACTAAAGGATTGTTAGTATTCCGATGTTACTGAATTATTAGTGAGACTTGCTTTAAATGTTCAACATTTCACATAAAAAAGCTATTCTTCTGCCTGATGAAGACATATCAATTTGCCAGCATAAAGCGGTGTCCACACTATCACATTTTCTTTGACAGAAAAACTGTTGTATGCCCATATATGGTCATTCTTTGCCTATATATGGTGATGATGTGATGTCATCATGACCATATTTAGGCATGTCACATGTTTTTGTCAAATAAAATTTGATAGTCTGGACAGGACCTTAGAAATAGATACTTTATTGTCACATCAATAAAAATGCGAAAATTGGTTAAACGGTTGTTGTATGCCCATATATAGTCATTATGTGCCTATATATGGTAAATGAATGTCATCATGGCTATATTTTCAGGCATGCAACATGTTTTCGTCGAATAAAATATGATATGTCTGCACAAGGCTTACTGTAAGAACTTAAATCCATGTAAACACATTTAGTACCATAAGTAAAAGCTTGGGAAGATGCGATATTATTATATTAGCTTATTCCAATATTAACCATCGATAAAATGCACAATGCAGTCAATCATATAAAGCCAAATTAAAAAAAAATGATTTTGTTGACCGACCTAAAATGTATGAAATTGAGGATCAGCATTTTAGTTTTTTTATTTATTTTTTATTTTTGACTACCTCGTACTTGTACAACAAAAATATTTTCTATGAGCTAAAAAGACTGGAATAGGCTTGCTGGATAGCAGGGCGATGTTACAGTGTTATGTGATCGTTTGCTCTCCAATATATATTCATGAATGGTCTTTGTTGTATTTTTGGGTATTTTCTACTTTTTAGGCTTAAACACATTATTGGTTTAAAAAAAAATCCCTACCGACCTACTCATTTTTTAGATTTTCCCAAAACGTGGCCATCGCAAGTTTTTTTTCTTTTTTCTTTATTGGCCTAGTGTAATCTCAGGGCAGAGATGAATGAATATTTTAACAATGTTTTCTCTTTGCATTTCATTGGGCACACAGTGTATTAAGTAGAATAACTTGCAGTTTGGTTGCTTATTATGTAGATAAAAAAATAAATAAATATATAATATCAGTAAATAAAAATATCTTAATTCAAATGTATCTTAAATCCCTGTAAAATTGAAAAAAAATTTTTTAAAAATTTAAAAAAAAAAGAGAAATGCATTTAAATATTTTTGATTCAGGTTATTTTATAATTGTTTTGTTTCAATTTGTAATGGTGCCTTTTAGACGTACCATTTTGTTTCATAATAGAATTGTTCATTTCCTGTATATTCATTGTAAATGCTCTCATTTTAGCCATACTTCCTGAATATTTTTGTCCTTTTTATAAATAAAATAAACTAATAATATACTGGAGACGCTATTGGTTTTATTGATACAGAACTAAAGTATATATTTTCTAATCAAAGAATTATTATGTTTACAATGTGTATAAAATTGTTTATTTATCATGGAATTTCTGTGTGTACCTTATTTCAAAATTGTATTAAAAACTACAATGAGTCTTGACTGCATTTTCCCCTAAAATGACATTTAATAATGTAGGCCTATAATTTTTTATTCACATTCTTTTTCTGGCAAGATTTCTTTCTGAGCCGCAAAAATTCCACCTTAGCTTTTTAATACTTAATGGCGATTTCTTTTTCCGAAGACATTTTGAGGAGTAGAAGACGGTATTAAAAGCATTTACATAATGACTATGACCGTGGCATGGAGACTTTTAATGGATGTTTCATCGCAATGAGCTGTCCTATTTAATCACATGGACATTTCTGCCACTAATGGCCACACCACCTAGCAACCGTAATGGATTCCAAGATCTTGAGAAAGCTTGCTGGAACGAAGTATACAGTAGTATAATTGGTAATGGCAGTCAATATAAACCATTGGAAAACTGCTTTATCTGTGTACAATATTTTTGTAACCAAGTAATTCCAATCTTATAGAAAAATCATACATAGTAGTATTATAACAATTTGATAAAATAACGCATTGTTAAGGTTACATAATTCAATTTGATGAATATGTTACTTTGTTATGTTAAAAATTGTTGCCATATTGTGTAATCAATAAGAAAATTTAAACTAATCAGCCATATTATTAATTATTAATATAAACAAACAAAAACAAAATTGATACTAACTTCAATTCACATTTACATTTTTTTTAAACAGAATATTTTCAGCCATTTTCTCCTTCCAAATATTGTAATTTTGAGGTGTAATATTTAAAACTTTCTCAAAGCAAAACACCCAGAAAATTCTACACTAATGTAATCATTCTCAAGCATTCAGTGTCCATTATCAGATATTTAGGCCTGCAATATGCCTAGTGGATTATGCATTATCTGATCATCTTAATGACAAGAAAAGAAGCATTGTCTACTCATTTTTTCAAAAAACCAAATGAAAAATATGGTTGATTTTATTTTACCTTCCTGTATAGTAGTGTAATAATATGCTTAATTTACTATATTTATTTTTTGCTGGCACTAGCTGGTAGCCAAAAATAGTAAATATGAAACAGGCAGATACTGTATTATAAATCTCATTAATTTTATGCCACAAATTTACAACAAACACTATAATAAAATATAATAAACAAATAAATATTCTATTTTATATTTCTGGATTTTTTTTCTTATTTACTGTAATTATTCATTTATTCAAGTTCATCCATTCAAATATTTAATAATCATTACATAATAATGATTTTTAAAATTTAATATTAAATCAATATTTAATAGTTATTTATTTTTATTATTATTTGAAGATTAAAAAAGACATTAATACAAGCCTTATTTTACAATAATTACAAGTAGTTACATAATTTACAATAAATTTTAGAACATTTTTTTTAAAATGATATTTTATTACGATTTTTAAAAATTTATATGGCAAACAAAATTTGGATGGAAAAAGAGCAACTCAACAAAATTTCCAAAAAAACATACTGGTAATTAAAGGATCTCATATATTAGGCCAAATAGAACTAAGGGCACATTGAAAAAAATTATTAGGTTATCAATTTTTTTTTTTTTAATTGATGAGGGAGGGACTGTTTATATTTGGTCTGTAATAGTAAATATTGTATAAAAACTGGCTTAATTTTATAGTTTTTTAAAGAAATTGTACTGGAAGTCCAGAATTGCATTGTTATTTTTATACTGTTGAAATAATTGATGTGGCAAATTTTTTTTTTTATTCCCGCGTCAATATTTTCCGATTTTTTGACGCAGGTGGGAGTGAAAATCTAATAAATTTTTCTATTTGCCCAAATATTTGGTTTTTTTCATGTCCGAATTGGAAATTAATTTTTTGTGAGGATTACTGTTTGATATTTACTATCCTATGTAGTTAACAGGCTGGTAAATAATATAATTTTTTTAAAGTAAAAAAATTACAATGAATATTTGTAATGTATTCTGCCATTTAGACTTCAACAACAATTATTCTTATCTTCATTACTGTTTGTTTTTTCCTTATTTGGCCTTTATAAAATATTGATAAAATGCTTTATTGTTTCATTCATAAGGTAGTCCACTACTTCAGAAGAATTATTACTTACAGTAGGTGTATTGTTTGTTTTTGTGAATAACTAATCAAATGACATGCAGTTTTCACAAGAAATTTATATTCAATGAAAAATAATATCGATGCTGCTGCAGATACTAAGGCGAGAGTTTTTTTATTCCTTGTTTCACGTATGTATTTTTTTTCAAGATCATTGGAGGAGGGCAGAATAAAAACAGCAATAAAATTGTGTTTTCTTATTTAGCAAATAGTTTGCAAAACACATCTAGACAGGGGAGAAAATAAAAATAAAATTTTATAGGTGAACGTAAAAAAGGATGGTTAAATGCTTCAAATTTATAAAATTAGGAAGAAATATAAATATCCTATCTTTGGAGATTTCAAGGCAGCTGAGGGCATAATAAAAATAAAGATAAACTTCTATTTTTTTCTGAAATTTCCACTTTTAAAATGATGTTTAAATGCATTTTAAGGTTTAACTACTTCCACTAGTAAAACCAGGCTGTCTCTGTAAGATCATTACAAAACCTCCTCTGATCTCATACCATTAATTATAAGTTTAGCTCACAAACATTATTTTGCTTCTAATGAGGTTTTCCTGGCTTAGATTCAAATAAGCTTAGACCTAGCCTAGACTGGCTATTTTCTATTATAAGCATGCATGCTGTACAGCTAAGCCTCTTGATTTTTATTGTATTCAATTCAATATTTCCTTCTAAATTTCAGACTGTTTTCATTTACTGTAGATAGTAGAAGTAACATAACAAATTACAAGGTATTAATTAATGATTGAAAAATGAAGATAAATAACATCTCATAGGCCCTACACTTAAGATGGCCTAGGCCCTAGCCCTAGTTGAATATGTATTATACTTCTTGAGCATGAAAATACAAACCCTAAAAAATGAATTTAAATCTGTAGGCCCTCGTCAGAAACGGTGAAAATAATGAATAGAATTATATCAACGATTGGGGGTAACAAACCTCTGATTAATAAAAAAAAAAAAATCAGCTCTTGAAAACGTTTGTTAAATGTTCATTAATTTGGTGGAAGAGAGAGTAAACTGTAATGTCAAAAAATAGAGTATACACAACAGTTAGGCTCTGGACAGTAGTAGTATTGAAAAGCTCAAGCGTGACTCGGTAGCACTGCAGGCAGCGTGGATCGTCGTATTCCATCACACACGTTCGCCTACAGCCCGTAGCTCTCACCCGAAATTTCTATCCGACATACTCACCTTTTAAATTGTTCTTTCACCTTATCTTCCCGTATATTATCCGGTAAATTTCCAACCCAAAGATGTCTGGTTTCCCGCACCATTGCGGCAATATGTTAGACTGCTCATAAAGCCTGTATTATTCAACTAAAACAGTGTAAATTCCTAGCAACATTGCTCGATCACTTTTCTGTACCTCGCCATTGAAGCAATACTAGATCTGTGTGAAGTGAGGGTTGATCACTGACGTCATGTGCGATATGAAAATCGCGGTGTGGTGTGTACGCTACGTTGGACGTGTTGCATGGCAAGAAAACAGGGAACAATGTGTTGTTTGCTCGCTTTGCAAACATGCATGCCGGGAAAACGTTCATTATCATTAATTTTTTCCCCATATTATTATTTTTTCATTCATGCATAATTTATTTTCCGTATTTATAATTGTGTGTTGCTTTCTATCGTTGTTACTATTTTTAACGCAATCAATTTGATCTTCAATTGACAATATACGTAGACCTACTTGGGACGTAGTCCTAGATTTCAGTTGTAGACCTATAGCTACTGTAAATGACGATGGAAGATGACAGCTATGTTTCTATCAATATTCATAAATCAAAGATATAACCACGGATAATATTGGCATGTTGTGATGATGACGATATATTTTTATTGAAACCATAATATATTTCAAGTTCTACCAAGCTAATAATCAATTTGACGTTATAATAACGTTATAATAACTACGTTACAGTTTGATGTTCAAAAAGGGGTTTTTAATTAAAAAAAAAAAAAAAAAAAAAAAAAAACATATGTAATTAGGCCAGATAACGAAATTTGTTCAAAAATGTGCTCAAAACATTTTTTTTTTTAACCATAAATGTGTATAACGTGATTTCTAACTCTAACTACATAACGTTGGCGTTGTAAAGAAGTCACACGTTAACAACGTTTCGTGATTGTGTACTGTGGGCGGATGATCTGTGTTGCTTGTTACGTATCCTGTATAGCTTTATGGCTATAACATTTCTTCATGACCATAGCAGCTTCTATCCTGTCCAATTGGTGCTAAAGTTATGAAGAACCATCAAAAATATTTGAGAAAGACAGGGTTCACATCGTCCTTCTGGTGTATTTAGAAAGGACGTGGCCAGAAAAAAAAAGTGGCACAGAAAACGGTCACTATTTCTCCCTTCCCACTGCTGCAAAATGCACGAAATTACTTCATACCACATCCACAGATAGCTCCCTTTACCCGTGTCAGTGTCAACAGGCCTAGTACTCACAGTCTCATAAGCCACACCCTCGTCTTTTAACTGATGTGCGCGTACTGTTTAGTAACTGTAGTAATTTCGCATCATGTTATCAATATACTGAGAGTTTCATTACTAAGAAAACTGCACCACACCCAACCCATCAAAAACGTTATCATTGCGAACGTGGTAGCGGCCGGATTATGTCAAAAAATAACGTTAACATAGCGCGTTGCCGTAACGTTTCAACGTTATTCAGAATTACGTTATAAATGCGTATAAGATAGTATAGGCCTACATAACCTACTCCAAGTATCGAAATGCACGCCATCGTGTCGGGATTCAATATTTCGACATTAATTATGTCATCATCATGCGTATTGTTCTACTTGTTTATAGGTACCAAACTGCCAAGTAAGAAATGTAATTTTTTTTAGCAGAGTAACTGATCATATCATAACGTTAGTTGGATAGGATAGATATCACGCACGAATTTAATAGAGTTTAGGATTTTTACCATGTTAATATGTAAATTCTAAAGTTATGGTTTTATTAAATACTTTTATTTATAATTTTAAGTTGAGTCTGGCGCTGTTTTCAGTTCCTCATTTGTATTTTATTATATTGGATGACCAGATTTATGATCTGCTTAGTTTACTTTTTTAAACCGAGTCTGCATCCTAATGAATTAATCTATTAGTTCAGTGTAACAATTTACAAAACAAATATAAATGAAAGGAAGTGAGCCACACGCAATACCTAACATCATAAGTTAGCTATAAATAGGCCTTTTTATTTATTTAACCACGAGATAAAAGTCATATGACTTACTAATTTCTCATGACGCAATATAATTATTCAAATCTCTAAGTTATTTACAATTAAATGGCTGGATGCTCACACTGTGCCAGGGGTTCTGATGCATACGTCATCAAAAACATTTCACAGCAAACACCCGTTTATGTCTCAGGTATTGTTATAATATTCGCGAACGCCGTTTGTGTTTAGGTATCTAAAAAAACAGCGTTAACGACAACTTGAAAAATTACCATTCCCGTTACCATTGGCGTTGTTATAAATTACGTAGGCATATTTATGGTTCTAAAAAAATTAACACCAAATTGAAACGTTATACTGCACAATTAGCTGGGTTCTTGTTTACAAATAATCTGAAAGATAAAATTTAGAATTTTTTTTTTTATTTTTTTATATCGAATACTGGTGATTGGAGCTACTGTATTACATTTGAGTAAAGTTCTGACATGCTCCCCTATAAGAGACTGCGTGCTTCTAATTTATACTGGTGTTTTGTTATACTATCCTCGTATGTTTAATTATTTGTACTGCATTGCACTAATAATAATTTGGATTCAAATATACATCATTATTTTGTTTATTTGTTAACATCAATGACATCATCTTCAGCTTTAACTCCTCAAGAATTAAAAGAATATATTTCATTTTTTCGACACTGCAAAACGGCTGAAAATACAATTAAAAATCTACATTTTCAATTTTATTTTAACACAACCAACAAAACAAGTACAAAAAAGCGAAAATATTTGAATAATTAAGTCATTTTATTCCCACTGTTAGGTCTAAATTATAATGACCATATTTGGTCATATTATGAAACAAAAGATATGGTTAATGGTCTTGATATAATATGCCAATGTTATTGACAGAACTTCCCTTCGCCATTTTAAAAATATCAACATCGCTTCGAAGATCCATTACAATCATAAATTACTACATTTAAAATAGGCCTATACGACCTTTTTACCTTTAAATTGTTAATTATTATTACCAACAATGCATAATTCAAGATTACAGTTCGACATCAATAATTATCATTCTAACAGATTAAACAACCACAAGCGATTTATAAATTATTCACCACATTCTAGGTTGGCCTACAACAATATGACACCGATACACACTGTAGGGTTTTTTTTTTGCCATCCATCATCTTGCTTTTGCAAAATGTACCGTACAAAATTTCCCAATAACAAAAAAACAGTATCCTATAGACCTATTGTTTGTTTATTCATATTATAATAAGCTACTATAATATTGAATAGTTTTCGCTTTGATAACAAAACGATTTTCAATATTGTCAGAAAGACCCTGGCATAAAACAATTATTATAAGTAAAATAGCCAACGCCCGTATTGATGATAATAATCCGTTTATAAACGTTCATAACCAAGCCAACAGCATTTCTTGTATTAACATCCAATGGCTTGCGCTTACGAGTTGAGTATAATTCCAAGACATTTTGAAATTAATGATTTAGCAAATTTGATTTGTCTCGAAAAACAAAACAAAAATCTGTTGACAATGAAATTATCATATTTTTAGAGGTGACGGTGTATAAATGATCGTAAGTGAAATTGTTCATATTGTTTCGGATATAATATGTGAATCCCAACCAATAATTATTTACTATTTATAATGTATATTTCCACTGATTTGAAACTCATATAGTTGTCGACGTGGCAAATTTGAGTGAACGCTCCGTATCTTGATTATAATTCTCAACAATAATTCTCGGATATATCTCTCACGCAATCTATCACTTGATAGGTAAAAAACATGGCCTCCCGCAAAAAGGATAGCGATGAATTTAAGAGACTATTTTATTTCCAAGGTTTCTACGGTCAACTCAGTCTTAGCAACTGAAACAATCTTTGAATAATAAGAAAATATACTCCACAATAGTATAAACCAACAAAACACAGATAATTGGTAAGATATAAGTTATCCGAATCTAGAAAAATACGCCATCGTAAGAACGTCTTTCTAACAGAGATTAACAAAGGGAGGGGTTCGAAAAGGAAGGAAATTGATACAGCCGCCGTAGAGGGCGATGTGACACTTTTTATAACAAGAGATTAAGTTTTTGGTGGCAGTATTGACAAAGAACGTCAGAAGATGTTTCGCAGAGAAAGAAATTGTCAGAGATTTAAATTAGAAAAAGTATAAGTAAGCGTATTAGGCTCGTAACATCCCAGGCGGTGGTGCAAGTACTTGCCCTGCGGGGGAAGCGAATCGCTGAGAGGCTGGTGAGATATAGGGGGAAAAGCACCAGTAATACTAATCTGTAACAATTACATAATCCTTGTCACCAAACTTTTTCGGTTCGACACATCTTTAAGTTGCGTCCACACTATCAAATTCTATGTGACAAAAAACTGTGATATGTCCATATTTGGGTGTAATATGACATCATCATGCCCATATACGGGCACATCACACAAATTCATCACATAATTTGACAGTGTGGATGATCATTGGTGTTATAATGCCTGTTGTAATTCTTTTATATTTTCTTTTTTATGTTGAGTTCTTTTTCCATTCTTTCAATGTTGTTAAGTCTTCCAATCTCCGTATTCTTGTTTGTCAAGATTCAATCAGTGGCGGATTTAACTCCTGTCTAACGGTCGGTCGCAGACCAATACGCCTTTAGGTTTAATATCTTGCCTTTGTTAGAAGGAAAAGATGAATAAATAATATTTAACTGTATCCATATAATATGCATTTGAAGTGCTCAAAAATAGTATTGAATACACAAGGGTCGAAACACGAGTATTCCAAGCGCCCCCCCCCCCCCAGTGTTCAGAGTTTAGTTACTGGACCATTAACCATTTGGTTCCCAGTCTTCCACTGGATTCAATTACACTTTTATCCGATCACCAATTTGTCATTTAACTGCCTTATCAATCATGTTCACATGTATTTTCAAATTACAGGGCTCTCTCTAATTACAGACCGCTCCAATTAAAGACCACTTTTCTGTGGTCCCAAATTAAAAGTTTTTTATCTTTACTATTCTAATTAGAGACCAAAGCTGTTAAAGACCATGGACACCCCAGTCTGCTCCTTTAATTGGAGGGAGGCCTGCATTAGAATCAATTATTAAATGACAGGCCTTTACATAAATGACAAAACTACAGTTTGTTTTCTGGTAGGTGAATTTCATTGTGAATAAGAAGTTGACTATGGAGTAATATACAGTACATTAAATTAAATGTAAGGAAAAAAATTGTTCACCGCAATGACCATCAACGAATAATAATAAGAAATCTACAGTATTTTCCTGTTTTTCTTTATTTAATATTATGTTACAAATTGATGAAAACTGACAATTTGTGATATACAGTTAAACTTGCCTAACTCAAATACTTATTTTACATGCCAAATTGTTGCGTTTTCCATTAATTAACAATCTGTAAGTCGAATTTTATCTAAGTCGAACAATTTTTCACTGGCATTTTGGATTTGACTCAGGCAAGTTCAACTGTAGTCCCTGTATCCATAACTGGAGCTACAAGATTTTTATACGCTATGGAGCTGTCCTCGACAGCGCTATAAAGCTTGGTTTTTATGGAATCGCTACACAGTCGCTACAGCGTTTTCACTGCAATCCTTGCACTGCGTAGCTGTCCCCCACGCAATCAGAAATGCTCCCCTATTCAACTGACCAATCAGCGTTGCGTCGCCGAAGGAGTCGGCGATAGTGTGTATCAATTCTTATGAAAACCAGGTTTAAGTCTAATTTAGTATTATTACTTTCTATGAAAAATTTCTTTTAAGAAGTAAATTACTCCAGTTGGTTTATCCAATGAAATTGACACAGTACGTAAGACAATATCAATTACACTTATTTTTGTTTGGTCAGCTTAGAAATATTCCGACAGTGGAAATAGGGAAACTGTGACCAAATAAGGAAGCCACTGCTACAAGTTAAACACAGGTATCTGAAATCACCAAGGAATGCAATAATATATGTCAGGTCCTCTGAGGCAGCTCATACAACCCACAAGCATAGTCGCAAAAAAAAAAACCTTAAAAGAGGATTTTGACTTATCAGTAAATTGATATCAGGACATCAAAAATAAAGCACTTGGGTAAGTACAGTAAAATCCCCATTAAGGAGACACCATAGGACCAAAATATGTCCCCTTAATAGGGTGTCCCCTGGATAGGGGTTGGCTGTAGTGTTAAGATATACTTCCCCCATTTCGTGGCTGCAAATATGTCCTCTTAATAGGGGTGTCCAAATAATAGGGGTTTCCCATAATGGGTGGTGTCCCCAAAATGGAGGTGTCCCCACAATGGGGGTGTCCCAATTATAGGGGTGTCCCCTTAATAGGAGTGTCAGCTTAATAGCAGTGTCCCAGAGGGGGTTCTACTGTAAACGGTATTCTCTGTGTTAACAGAAAGGAATTTCAGTAAAATTTATCCCATTTTCAACAGAAAAAAACCAGTGAAGATCGCTTGCAGCATTAGGTAACAAGTTACGTGCTTCCACCAAGCAACCACTGTACTTGGTGTGCCTGAGGTATGTATGTTCAAAATGCTTGCCAAAGTGGTCATCCAAGTTCTTAATTGAGATATCTCCAAATTGTGCAGACTATCCAGATGATCCTGCCATCCATAACCCTTATTGAGAACAAAGAGATTTTTTTATCTCCAGTCTTTTTGATACAATATGATGTTGGAATTCACTAGGCTTGGTTCATCTTTGGAATGGTGGTCTCATTCTAGGCTGCATCGGTGTCCTCATCAGCGGAGGCCTAGGCCCAGGTGGGGCACCACCTGTGAACAATTTTGATATTTTCATTAATACAACAAAAATACTGTAATTATATCTCTAGGAAATTAGCACAGCAAAAAAAAAAAATATTATCATAATAAATATACACGATCTAAAATGTAATCACATAATGAGCAACTGTACATATATGCTACTAAATTAACTACAATAAAGTATGTCTAATCCCATTAAAAACTTTTATATTATTATTAATTTGATATATATATATATATATATATATATATATATATATCTATATAT